CTACAGTGTAAACACTATCTAAGACAATTATTGCTCCCTCACATTGCTTTACAACATTTAATTATTTTTTTTTAAGAATAATTATCACAAATCTGCCATAAGTACACTTGTCTGGGACCGATTCAGAATTTCTGTTCACCAAAAGCAAACAAATAAACAAAACTATGAATCTTTTGGTTCACATTTTCTTTTTTGATTTCATTAAGTATATTTATTTTATTTTTTTATTAATTAATTTATTTTTGTTACAGATGTTTCTCCTTTTCCCTTTACTGATTCCCCCCCCCCCCCGCCCTGTCCCCAGCTTTGTTGTCCATGTCCATTGTTCATGCATACATGCATATAAGTTCTGTGGTTTATTTCTTTCTCTCACACCCCCTCTTCTGGGGATTGTCAGTTTGTACCCCACTTCCACGTCTCTGGGACTATCCAATTCATCAGACTGTTATGTTCATTATATTCCACAAATAAGTGAGATTATATGATACTTGTCTTTCTCTGTTTGGCTTGTTTCACTTAGGATGATACTTTCCAGGTCCCTCCATGTCATCTCAAAGGATAAGAGATCTTTCTTTCTTACAGCTGCATAGTACTTCATTGTGTATATGTACCACTGCTTTTTCATCCATTCATCTACTGATGGACATTTGGGCTATTTCCAGATCTTAGCTATTGTAAATAGTGTTGCTACAAACATGGAGGTACATATATTTTTTCTGATTGGTGTTTCAGGCTTCTTAGGGTATATTCCTAGAAGGGGGATCACTGGGTCAAATGGAAGTTCAATTTTTAATTTTTTGAGGTAACACCATATTGTTTTCCATAGTGGCTGCACCAGTTTGCATTCCCACCAGCAGTGTACTAGAGTCCCTTTTTCTCCACACCTTCGCCAACACTTGTTGTTTGATAGCTTGTTGATGGTTGCCATTCTGACAGTTGTAAGGTGATAATTCATTGTTGTTTTAATTTGATCTCTCTGATGATTAGTGATGTTGAGCATTTCTTCATATGTCTTTTAGCCATTTGTATGTCCTGTTTGGAGAGGTGTCTATTCAGTTCCTCTGCCCATTTTAATTTCCTTTTGTTGAGTTGTATGAGCACTCTATATATTTTGGAAATTAACCCCTTATCTGATCTATCGTTGGCAATTATGCTCTCCCATACAGTGGGTTACCTATCCATTTTGGTGGTTGTTTCTTCTGCTGTGCAGAAGCTTTTTAGATTGATATAGTCCCATGTGTTCATTTTCTCTTTTATTTCTGTTGCTTTAGGTGATGTATCAGTGAAAATTCTGCTGTGTATGATGTTTGAAATGTTGTTGCCTACATTTTCTTCTAGAATTTTTATGGATTCCCGAGTCACATTAAACTGTTCTATCCATTTTGAGTTTATTCTTGTGTATGGTGTAAGTTGATGGTCTAGTTTCTTTTTTTTGTATGTAGCTGATAGAAAAATCGATGAGGGAGAACACTGATTGGCCATCTCCTGAATGCCCCCACTAGAGATCAGGCCCACATCCTGGGCATGTGCTCTGACCGGGTAATCGAACCGGTGACCTCTTAGTGCATGGGTTGATGCTCAACCACTGAGTCACACCGGCCAGGCTGGTTCACATTTTCTAGAAGTGAATTTTCTTGTCTTTTAGAGTTTTGGACTTACTAAGGATTGTAATTATTTTTCATTTTTCATAAGTTCTACAAACAATTGTTAGTTTCAGCAATAGATTTCTAAACTGAAATATCAAAGAACGTAACATTCTTAATGTATGACATTGTAATTTGTTAAAAATAGAGTGATGCTGAATTCTATACAATGGCAAAAATCTCCATTTCAGGTATTAGTTATTGTACTGGTTATATTTTTATTTCCTAAACATAAAAACATGAAACAATTAGTCAGAGTCTCATAGAGGGCTCATATGTATGAATTACCATATTTTAGTTTTACTTAATATTTTTATTTGTTCATGTCATATATCCAATGGCTTTTAGAAATAAGAATTTTTATCCACTCTGTTCCTGACTAGCTAGCTACCTGACGATTATTAGCGACTCACCCCAAATATAACTAGCAAGGAACGGGGAATGTACTTTATTTCATCACTTCCGAATGGGAAGAGTGAAGAGTATCCATTTGATGAGAGAAGGGAAACACTGTGTGATGAAAGCAGCTGAGTCTTTCTGCTGCAGAGTCTCAGATACCTTTTTTCCAACAGAGCAAGGGTCAAGCTGATCCCTAGGAGCCTGCTACAGCATCACCATTTGTGAACTTTCCACAATGATGTTATTCTTCTGATTGTTGTAAATATTTTAAACAGTTTTTGAAAATTAAAAACTCCACTAAGTTGACAGAATGTTAAAGCTATTTTCTCAAAAACTATTATTATTTCATCACTGGTAACTCTAGAATGAGCTCAAATATAAATGAATAAATCAATCACAAATTAAAATACTCCCCTGAAAAATATTTGGAGAGGATAGTTGATTTGTTGTGATCTTTATACTAGAGCTATTCTTCAAAGAAAATATTTCCCAATAATATTTATAGAATTCTTAAGAGATTATAAAAGCATAATGTATTCTATTTTATTTTTATTAAAAAAACTTTTTTTTCTTTATTTAGAGAGAGTAAATGAGAGGAAAAGAGAGACAGAAACATCAATGAGAGGAACATTGATTGGCCACCTTCCACATGCTCCTCACTGGGGATTGGGCCCACAACCTGGGCATGCATCCTGGCTGGAAATCATACTGGCAACCTCTTGGTGCTTGGGTTGATGCTCCACCACTAAGTCACAACGGTCAGACTGTACTCTATTTTTAAATATCTGTAATGTCACCAAAGATGTTTGAAATATGGCTTTCTGGATAGTTGATCTTTCTTTTTTTTTTAATATATAGGACTTTCTTCATTGTCTTGCTATTATCTTCAATTAAACTTTAAGGAAGCATATCAAACTACTATAAAGCTAAAAACTATGTAACTAAATATATTAGGCTTTAACCCATTTCACAACAGACAATCTAAACACAAAAATCAATTGAGAAACCAATAGATATTAACTATTGAACCAAAATTCAATTTGTCAGGTGAATTTCATGTAAATATAATCTTAGAATACAAAATAATATTAGAATAAGAGCATGTGTGGATGTCAAGTAATTAATCAGAGATAGAACTGCAAGTTTCTAATGATATCAATATACTTCTCCATGTGCACAGAGGAAAGAGGGATTGATGTTTATTGGAGTGCTTTGTGTGTTAATGTAATTTCAGGTCACGAGTATCATGAGGTTGAAGTGGTTGTCCTAAGCAGAAATAGGCATAAAATGCAGGAAATTAGAAGATTAAAGCCCTTGCCGGTTTGGCTCAGCGGTTAGAGCGTCGGCCTGCGGTCTGGAGAGACCCGGGTTCGGTTCCCGCTAAGGGCATGTACTTCGGTTGCAGTTTGTCCCCGGCCCTGGTTGGTTGTGCGGGTGGCAACCACTCCATGTGTCCCTTCACGTGGATGTTTCTCTCTCTCTCTCTCCCTCCCACTCTATCTGTACAAAAATTGGAAAAAATGTCCTCTGGTGAGGATAAAAAAAAATAATAAAATAAAATAAAAAAAAAGAAGATTAAAGACTTCCTCTGCATGCATACCTGATTATATAATAAAAGCAATCTGGCGAATGAGATTACCAATTAGTCAGAAAACCCAGAGATGTCCTAGCTGAGAATTGGTTACTAATATTACATGAAGACATAGGTTATATTTCAATAATTAGATTACCAAGAAAGATACAATATTTGATTTTCAGAATTTTTATCATCTACCAATGGGTCAACTATAGCTTTAAAGCTTAACATTTTATTCTCTTAACATTGATATTTAAAAACATGTTAAATGAGTTATCCATAATTTCCAGTAAGATAACATTCCAGATGATTCCCATGGTCAAAAATGCAGGTCTTCTAAGCAGAGTTAAGCAACAATCCTGGTGTAACCATGCACCTCTGACTGACGTAGAATTCAGTAATGTAGATGCCTTCGTGTGACACCTCTGAACCACGTGTCAGCCAATAACAGTGAAGCAGTGATAAGCCTCATCTTAAAAATTGTATTACATTATAAAAGAAAACATGTTCTTAGACAGCAGTTGGAAAATAAGTTCTACTACTTCAGATGGTATGATTTATGTACCCTAAGGCAATAAAGCATCAAGAAGAAAGTGACATGAAACTTATTTGAACTATAATAGAATTATAAAAATGATTTAAGATTAACCTGAATCACTAGCACCTATCACGAGAAGGAAGAAGCACTCAGTATGCTTACAATGCTTATAGAGTTCAAATGCACGCCATCCAGTACTTCTTCAAACAGAAATTCCCTTTAGCAACACCAATGCATAAAACTTTGAATTAACATAAGTGTTTTGAGAATAAATAAGTGTAATAATTCCATATACAAAATAACCAGCTATGCTGTAGTTTGCTGGAAAACAACACAAATAGTCTGGTAAGATGAAAACTTCCTAGAGGCATTTATTATCTCAATGAGTATCTTCAAAACTTAACAATGTCTTTATGGGGAAAAAACTCTCCCTGTCAGACTAGAGTTGACTATGCCACACAAAAAGCTGTCAGCAATTTTAATGTAGAAATAAATACTTTCTTGCTTTTTCATAGAAAATAAAATGATAGAGCAGTGTCTAAATAAATGGTTCTCCATGAGGTATATTAGGAAAAGTTCATCTGCTAAATCATGGTTGGGATAGGAAGCCAGCTCTTACGAACAATGCTTGGTGGAGGAATTCTATGACAACAATTCAGGGGACACACAGAAAATTATGGCCAAGTTTCCCCAAAGGGCTCATAATGGTTTTAAAATCACACTGAAGATTAATTCTCACTGTTTTCTCAATTTTAACTATATTTTCAAAGTAGCATCAACCTTTTATATTTCTTCACCTATGCTTACATGAATTTATGAGACTATAATCTTAAACATTCCTTACCTTTGATTCTTGAACTTTCTTGACTTTTTTCCTGCTGGAATTAAAACAGAAATAGATCAAAATCTGTACGCATGTGTGCAACAGCCTGATATAAAGTATCAATATAAGTAAAGACTTGTCTAAATGTTTTATTGTCCATATACCCTGGAGTCATTGTGATATAATTATCATCTTAACAAATACATATGCCAAATCTTTTATTAGAGTAGTAATCATTCCTAGTGGACCTATATTTCTCTAAGAAATCAATCCATTATATGAATATGAATTTGTAAAGAAATGGACAAATGGTTAATGAATAAAAAATAACTTGTCATGCCTCTCACATGCCTTAGGCTATTCCATTTAATTCAAACAGATTATGAATGATGTCTTCAGAATTCACTTTCAACATCTCTACATTAATCATAAGTTGTTGGTGAGGGGAAAAGTTTAAGAGCAAACAGTGGAAAATTCAGTAAAAAACACAAAAGACGTTTCAACTGTCTTTCCTTCAATTTAACTTAGAATCAGTCCCTGTCTCACTTCTCCAAGGCTAAAGTTGACAACAGTTCTATTACTTATTCAAAGGCTGCTTCAGTCAGACCTGTCTTTCAATTTGACATACTCTTTATCAGTTACCAGGCAACTCCAAAAGAATTAGCTTGCTTTCAGTTTCTAAGTAGAAATTGTGCACTCTATGACTTCTCAGTTAATATTCATGTGGTTTACTCTGTCTAAAAGTTTCAGGGTCTCAAACTAAAAATAACTTTAAAATATGTTTTTAACAGAAAGTGACAATTACATATATGTACACACACACACACACACACGCACACACACATACACACACACTCTGAACTGCAGACCTGTCTTAATGCCAATAAATTTTGGTAAAATTTATACACATAATAAAAATATATAGAATTTATTTTGCTATAAGCTTTAATCCCAGCATCATATTTTCAGAATGTGCATATTGACAACTGTCTATTTATTGGATTAGCTAACCCAATGCATGACTCTATTAGACGTTAACATTTTTTGTGTTTTAATTCCCTACCCTCCCTCATCCAGCCTTTGAGTTTGAATGCTGTTCTGTCCTTGTTAATTAAGTGAGTTTTCCAGTTATAACTTATTTTTAGAGTATCTGTCTAAATATAAGTTACTTGTTTTAAAAAAAAACACATTAGTTTGTCATAATTATAGGACAAGCAGCCTTAAATTTTTCAAAGAGGTATTTGTTAATGAAAAACTCTCTTTCCTCCTTTTTTGCCATTCATTTATTTATTTAGTCATTTATTCTTTCAACAAATATGCATAGATTATTTTTATGTGCCAGACGCTGTTCCAGATGATAGGATATAAAGGATGAATAAAACATAAAAATACATCCTTATTGAACATACTGCGTAAATGGTAATAAGTATTATTTATTTTATTTTTTAATTAACTATATTGGGGTAGCATTGGTTATAAAATTATATAAGTTCCAACTGTACATTTCTATGATACATGATTTGTATGTTTAGGGGAAAAGAGGTAGTTTTGCAGTTTTATATAGGTATATAACAATCATATGAGTTTTGAATAAAATTCTGAATGAGATGAGAAGATGCTCTGAGCATATATCTAGGGAAAACATGTTCTAGGAGAGAAAACAACTACAGGCTTCCTGAAGTATAAGAGTTCTTGGCATTGTCAAAAATACCAAGGAGACCAGGGGTTTTCGTAGGAATGCAATCAGGGAGGCACTAGGGACAGATAAACTAGCATTTGAGAGAGCTGAGAAAATATTGAAGGTTTTTCTCAGAGGTATAACATTATCTAAATTGCATTCAAATAGAATCAGAATCTGACTACTGAGAATAGGTTAAACAGGGCAAGGACAAAATTGGAAGGACCAGTAGAGAGGATATTGTAGCAGTGTAGGTGGGAGGTGACAATGGCTCAGACCAGTGTGGCAGCAGTGGAGTTGGAATCAAATCTCTTAGAGCTGGAAAGATTTTCTGATAGAATATATGTTGGGTGTGAGATAGAGAATAAGCAGGGATACTTTCAAAGGTCTGAGCCGGACGGAGTTAGCTCTAACTATGATGGGGAAGATGGTTGAAAAAGAAACACTTTCTCCCCAGCCTGGTGGTTCAGTGGATTGAACATCATCCCACGGACTGAGAGGTCCTGGTTCAATTCCTGGTCAGGACACATGCCTGGGTTTAGGGCTTGATCCCCAGTAAGGGGCATGCAGGAGGCAGCTGATCAGTGTTTCTTTCTCACATCAATGTTTCTATCTCTTTCTCTCCTTACCTTTCTCTCTCTAAAAAATCCATTACAGAGATAAAACATATTTATTTAGAAAAATGAACATTTTTCTGTTCTTTACTTGCTTTCTAGCACTGTCTCACTGTAAATTTTTCTTTTGTTGTCCTGCCAACCCTATTTCATTGCCTTTAATGATTCCTCCTCATATTCTCATTCCTAAATGATTTTCCTAGACACTGAGGTCTTGTCTTTCCTCCATACTCCTCACTCCTACGGTGATCTCATTCAGTCCTCCGGACTTCAGTTCCATCCTTCTTCTAAGAACTCTCGTATTTATATCTCTAGCCAATCCTCACCATTAAACTTCAGACTCATATGGTCAACTGTATTTTTTATATCTCCACTTGGACACCTAATAACAGCCTACCCGTCATATCCAAAAGGGAACTTCTGATCTTCCCTTACTTATTTAGCCATCTCTCTCATGTTCCTCATCTTCTTCACCTCTCCATCCTTCTACTTGCTCACTTAACGAAATGTTTGTCTGCTCTGCCTCTAAATAGATGAAAAGTCTAGGATTTTCACGGGCTTTTTATTTGACTTTGATTTTACTTTGAATATCACTTTGAGGATGCAAAGTAGGCAGATAATTAAAATGTTTGGAACTCACAGGCAATATCTCAATAAGACATATCAATTTAGAAATCTGTATAAATCATCAATACTGTATCTGGAGAACATGAAGTAGAGTCGCATGATCTAGAACTGAGTATTGAAAACAATACAAGAAAAATAGGAAGTTGAATCAGTCAACTCAGAGAATGAAAGAACAGAAAAACTGTAGGAGAAAACCCAGGTGAGAATGGAATCATGAAATCCCAGAGGATATATGATATAAGAGGGAATCTTTCAATAGTATAGAATTCTTCTGACAGGTCAAGAACAATTATGTCGAAGACAAAGCCTGTTAGATACTTTGAAATGAATAGAAACACTGACTACAAAAAATAAACAAACAAACAAAAAACCTCACATTTTTGGTGGTGTTACAGACTTGAAAGTAAAAAAAGTTTTTCAAGGAAGGACAGGACAATTGAGAAATGTGTAAAGGGGTAAAAATGAAATGGAAGAAACATCATGAGGAAAGAGAGGCCTGGGATGGTGTTTAGCTGGAGAGTAAAGTCAAATCCCTAAAGGGGGTATGTTTGCTTTTTGTTTATTTTGCTTAGTTTTATAATATATTATTTATATTACTGAGGATTGAGAATGTCTAAGTGGTAGGAGATACATTGTAGAAACTGAAAGGATCAAGATAAAAGGCAGAGACGATATGACTGATTTTATAAGGGTAATGAATAGGTGGTTATGATACAGAACATAAGTGCAGCAAAGTCCGGATAAGAAGAACAGCTTGGTATTGTCAAAATCCTAAGTTTTGCCTCATAAATTTGTAGAGATATAAATCTTAGCCATATTTTAACTATAATCAGATGGTTGTAACACTCACTGATATTGTACTTTATTTGTTTCTTAAAATCCAATTCACTACTTATGCATTTGTATATACTTAAAAATTACCTATGAAAATATCTGACAAACTAGAAATGTTTAATGAGAATGTACTTAAAGAGGATAAATTAGTTATTAATTTATTTGGCTGGGGAGAATGGGAACAGACTTGTAAAGTATGAAGAAAACAGGGATAAGCTACTCCATTTACAGCCAAATTTGTGCTAGAACCCTGTTAGTAGAGATATGTACATAATTTAGAATTTTGAAAGTAATATCTTTTTTAACTTGCTTCTATGACTTTGATGCATTATTCACCTGGCAATATATATTTTCCGCAATTTTAATTTACAAACTGTTTTAAATGTTAATTTGAAAATGAAGGAATAGTAAAGAGAAAATTGTAATTATTTAATTATGTGAGAACTCTGAAGTGATCAAAGAGATTTGTTATGCCGTATGCATAATATATTTGAAAAAATATTCTTATATTAAGAAACTTCAGTTCTTGTTTGTAATAGCAGAATGCTAAACTCCTAGTATAATTCAATTTTAATATTCCTTTACAATTTTTCTGATAAAGTGATCTTGTTTTGAAATTAGACATATATCTTGGCCAGGTATCAAAGCTAAATAATAGCAAACCATTCATGTTTTACTTTGTACCACACCACTTCTTGGAAGAATACCAAAGTGCTATATTAATTACATAAATAGACTCCAAGAAATGCAGATCAGTGGGAGAAATGAGCAAGTAGATTTCTTGCAGACAGTTTAACAAAGATTAGCAAAGACAATCTGGGCAGAAGTTTGGATACAAGGAAATACATAATTGTATAATAAGATCTCTTAAATACTAAAAAATAAAAATGGAACTTAGGTAAAACAGAGGAAAATTAAGTCAAGTTGAGGCACACAGGTTTTAAACTGATGTGGTGGTCATAAATTATGTAGGCAAGGTCAAGACTAGCCAAATAATGTCAATGCACAGGATGCTAGTCCTTTAAACTGGCAGAATGTTATCACTCTGGAAGACATTATTAAGGATGTTTTTACCTAGTATTTGGATTTATGGCATGACATTTATTAGAATCTGATGATGACTATAACATAATAATTAATGTCTTATGATCAAGGATTAGACCTAGATATCTGGCCACAATATCTTCAAACATAGTTTACAGTACCTGGTTTCTTCTTTCTCACTAGGAAGCACATGCGCTCTAGGAAGAGAAGCAACCACTAAATGCTAACTGCATCACTTCCACCAACAAATCATTGATT